AATACTGCTTGCAGTGTATTCATCATTGACATTTACTGTGTCTGGCCAGCACTAGGAATAAGTTTATCACCATATATTGCTCCCAGTTCCTAGCCTCTGTCACCTCTGTTTTCCCTTCCTAGGTTAAACTTCTATCTCCCTCACCCATCTGTTATCCATTCCAGGGCACTTCAGTACAGTATAACCCTTAATGTCACTGTAGGGGTGGGAATAGAACTCTGAGCCAGATTACCTCAAGGTAGAATAGTGTAGTTGAAGTCACCAACAGTGGGGGGTGGGAATTCTGTAAGGGTTTCATGGCTGTCTGTAGCCCATACTTATAAAGCAATAACTACCATGGGCTTTATAGTGCAATCCTATAATGTTTACTTAGAAGTAAAATCAATTGACTTCAATTGGGCTTAATGGCAGGTTAATGGGTGTTGGGTATACAGCCATAAATGCAAGGGAGAAAAGAAAAGAAAAGAATGGAGAGCCTATTCACACACCTTTGTTTTGAGTTGGGGGTGAATTTCTTCCTTAATTTTGGACTATGTTGCTTAGCGAAGGGAAAAAGTGGTCTTGCGGCAACTTTTCCACCACAGAAAAGAAATGCAAGTGGACAAGGAAATGGAGCTTGTAACCACTAGCCAGGGACCAAGCTTGGGCTAATGGCTACTGATACACACCCACACAAATATTCATATCCATATACACATCGTTCTTCGTCTCATACCGTACATAACTCTTTCCATCCAAATCCACTGCTACTGTCAAAATTAAAGCATTAAGAGAGTGCTTATATTTTTCTTTTCCTTATTCTTCTACTAGATGTTAGATAATATTATAGCTGTTCTGATTTCAGATGTAGCAGCTCTTTTTAAAAGGACATTGTGCTGTATCCAAAGAATTCTCTAAAGGTTTTCAGGAGACATGAAGAAAGGTAAGATTTCTTCTCTGAAGGATGATACCCACCAGAGGAGCCTGTCTGGACTTGGTAGAGGAGAAAAACATTTCAATCTAGAAATGGCCTCATGTCTCAAGTATCCAGGGTTCCTTCTTCTCTTTCTCCCTATCGCCGTTGTTTAGTCGTGTCCAACTCTTTGTGACCCCATGGACCAGAGCATGCCAGGCCCTCTTATCTTCCACTGCTTCCCGGAGTTGTGTCAAATTAATGTTGGTTGCTTCGATGACACTGTCCAGCCATCTCATCCTCTGTCGTCCCCTTCTCCTCTTGCCTTCACACTTTCCCAACATCAAGGTCTTTTCCAAAGAGTCTTCTCTTCTCATGAGATGGCCAAAGTACTGGAGCCTCAGTTTCAGAATCTGTCCTTCCAGTGAAAACTCAGGGTGGATTTCCTTCAGAATTGATAGGTTTGTTCTCCTTGCAGTCCAGGGGACTCTCAAGAGCCTTTCACCCTATACCAAGGTCCAAAATGAAGAAATGGGACTTGTGGAAAGGAAGGAGGAGTGTGGTATGACCCTCACAAAGTTAGGTCACTGTTTAAACAGCCAAAATCTGTTGTGGCCCTAAATACTCTTTCTCAAACCATTTTTTCCAGGGTCTCCTAGCAGCTGAGAAAAATCCTTTGGAAATCAGGGAACCTGCTGTAACAATTAGACATCTGGAAGAATAAGATTGGGATCCCAGCACATGGCTTCTTACCAGGGAACCATTAGTCCTAGTCTAGTGAGAATGATCAAGTGGTTAAAAGCAGAGCTGTAAAATTCTCAAAGTTGAATACATTGACAAATTTCTGCTGTAAGCCCATAGTAGAAGTACATGATGCAATATATTACTATGTATATTAGATGATAGAAATTCATTACATGGTACTACTAGAATCAATGATAGATTGCTCACTTGAAATGCTGAGAGAAATCTGCCCCCTTAACTATTCGATGGCACATCCCGACTTCTCTGTCTCAAGTTCCCAAAATGACAGATTTCATTTGCATATTTAAAAAAAATCCTCCTACCTTCTTCTTGAATGAAAAACAGCTCCATGAAAGAAAAGCTGTATAATGTGGAGAACCAATGGGGTGCTCAGCATTTTCCTTGCCAACTGCTTTTCCATTGAAAACACCTGCAGCTGCATTTGCTTCTGTAGCATTCCATATTTAACCTCATAAACATACATTAGGGCCAGCAGGATATCATTACATCTATTGATCTCCAATGTATAGTTAACCCTTGGAACAGGAAATAACCTTTCCCACCATCTACCTACTATTTATTAAACTCTTGGAAAAAGCAGCTTCATTGTCATAGTGTATTATTAGAAGCTATGATGGATAGACAGATTGTGAGAACAAGCTGTGAGAACCTGAATCAAATAAGGATGTTGGTTGGCAAACAACCCAAATCCTATAGGTCAATCAATCAGCTTCCTCCATCAATCAGCTTGCAATGCCTTCCACACTTTTTTAAAGCAATGACTCAGTTTAAATCACTGTTCAGACTGTTTCCAGGAATCGGATGTGGTGTTGTCTGATGCTTCCATCTCAGCAACAGCAAGAGGTAAAAGCACCAGTATGGTGGCCTGTTAAGTTCAACTAGCTTCTTGCATTGGCTTCTCTGGGTTGTTGAACAATAAATGTGAGAAGCCATTGCTGTGAGAGAGTATAAGGAAGCAAAGTCTGTGTTTATGTATATGGGACAGACCGTAAGTTGAAGACACCATAGTCTGAGCTGCAGTGTCTGTTTTCACCAAGGCACACACTGTATGTATGTTTGGGGCATTAGTTTTATTTCTTGTGTGTCCACTTCACCAAAACTCCATACTGGGTATCCTTTAGGAATGGATACCTTCTTCTGTCTATAGTGAATGTGCTCTCTCTCTCTCTCTCTCTCTCTCTCTCTCTCTCTCTCTCTCTCAGTGAATATAAGCATTGGAAGGATGTTACGGAGAAGCCTGGCTGCCTACTTAATTGACTGCCAGAGTTGGTCCCAAACTGCAGACCTCAGGAAAAAATAAATGGCTTAAACAGTGGGAGTACTGAGGCCATGCTGTTGATCAAGGTGAACTTTTGGGAAGGGCTGGTAGTTTTTCTAGCAAAAGGAAATATTTAATTTAACACACACATATAACCGTATTAGCATTTCCGAGCAGTAACTTTCCTCATACAGAATTTACATTACTAGTTATCACCATCCAACTGCTACATGCAGTTGATGGTACAGTTCAGTTACATTGAGCAGGGGAAAGAGAGAATGGAATTTGTTTTTGCTTTGCACTTAAGTAGAATGAAAGCTACAACTGGAGCACTAATTTAGGGGTGGATTTCTTTTATCCTGTCCCATGTCGTTTCTCAAAGCTGATAAGCTAACAATTTCCCAGTGAAAAGCCAGTAATTGTGGCTTGGCTCCTGGGCAGTTTATGGACAGACCAATACCATGTCACAGGACTGGATTGGTGAATCTAACCAAATTGGTAGCAAGGGGCAGAAGCTTCATACACCAGTTGTGCACTTAACAATACTCAGAAGGAAGGCTACTCCTGTGAATAAAGGGTACTCGTTTACCTTTAACAGCAACAGGACATGTTTGATATATCTGAGGTCTTTTCTGACTTCACCATTATGTTTCTAAAAACCCAACCAGCTTCTTTGGGCCAGAAATTTATAATCATCATTAATTCAGGGTGCCCCTTTCTGAGCCATCCAGCAGAGCAAATGGATATTAAATGTATATGTTTATAGAGCCATGCATGCTCAATGTTCATGAACAATTCAGTGGGACTCAGTTGCCAAGGCAAATTGGGAGGAGCTACCTACTGAAACATTGAAGTGTAACTCACACCCGAAATACAAAGAACCTTGACTTAAAACATGGACACCCTACCTCATCTCTACCAGTAGTGCTCAGCAAACATCTCATTAATCTCTTGAACTTGGATTGTTTTGTGGCAGGAATGCCACAGAATGGTACACAGTATGAAAAGGCAAACAGTATAAAGTATTCCCCAATTATATGTCCCTCTACTCCATATCTGAAGTGACCTAAAGTCCATGAAAACCCGATGCCTCATGCTTATTAATGGGTAGATGAGATACCAGTGAAGCTACAACTTTAACTGCCAAATTGCACTTCTTTCTCAAAGTGTTCCTCTGTTTAGGCTCTGGGGAAAGCATAGAAAAGTTCAGGCACTCTGGGAGTTGTAGTAAAAAAAACACCCAGTAATTTTCCTAAGCTCAGGATATTGGAGATGGATTTCAGTGTTCCAAACCTAAGAAACAGCTTGTCTATTTTTTCTGGCTTTTAAAAGTGTACCATATCGATGCCATGTATAGGAAAATATAATTGTTCTTTTTATCGACTTACATGTGTTTTAGCATAGTCACAAGAAAGCTTGTTTTATTTCCTTAGAAAGCACATACATTGCCAAGCTGAGTATAATGCACCATCTTGAGATCAAGGAGGGAACCCCTCTTCTTCCTTATCAAAAGAAGAAAATATATCCCTTTGGAAAACTGATCAAGTTCAGGGGTCAGAATGGTTCCTAGCCACAGACTTAAAAATACACGAACAGCTTCAATATAAAAAATCCCTAAATGGAATGGCTTTCCCCAAGTTTCTACACAGAAGGCTTCAGCCTAGATCCAGCTTTATCTAACCTCAGTGAGCGGTGTTCATACAAATCATCCCCCCCACTTGGGGGGGGGGCAGCCTAGAGCTGATACTATCCATTTCACTTCAGAGACAGAAAAGATGGTCACATATGCAAGTAAAGCATAACTAGCAATAAATAGCTGCAAGGTCTCAACTAAAATCTATGGCAGAGCCAGAAAAGAGCAACACACAAGACTCCGAGTTCTGTAACAGCTGGTGTGATGATCCTTTGATTTCCATCTACAGCACACCACAGCAGCCTGAATTTTGGTAAAGTAAAGGTAAAGGTTCCCCTTGAAAATTAAGTCCAGTTGCGTCCGACTCTAGGGGCTGGTGCTCATCCCGATTTTGCAAGCTGAAGAGCCGGCGTTTGTCCATAGACACTTTCTGTGGTCATGTGACCAGTATGATTAGACACACCTTCCCATTGAGGTGGTACCTATTCATCTATATGCATTTGCATGCTTTTGAACTATTAGGTTGTCAGGAGGTGGGGCAAGCAACTGGGGTGCACACTGTCTCATGGATGTGAAGTGCCAACAATCCAGTGGCTCAGCGGTTTAAACCGCGGCACAATCCACATCCATGAGATGTAGTAACATTAGAAAATTCTAAGGCCTCACTGTGCCTTGTACAACTGAACTAAAGCTACTCTGAGGAACCTTTTGTATTCTATTTAGCATTTAGTTCCCTCATTCCTCTGACAGCAGGCCTGTTGTTATTCCTTGAAACTGAGCCTGCTTGGTCTTGGCTGAGACACACTGGCAGATCTCTTGCAATTTCCTTTCCCAGAGACATCCAGCAGTAGGTAAGATTTTTTTTTTGTTACATTACATATAGTAAGCAATTGCCCAGGCCTTGAGGTGTAATTGCTCTAATCATTTTCAGATCTCATATGTTTCCAACCCTTATTCCATCAAATATTCCTAGTGTTTAGCAGCCTCCATGAGGCTCATGGCTATCTCTGGCCCTGTCTACAGGTAACCAGTCCTGTACAGATGAAGACAAACTGAGGTGTCACATGGAAAAGATAAATGTACCACTTGAACATTACTCAAATGAAATAGGTTTGAAGCAGGAGAAGGATGAAGTCAGGATCCTCAAAGCAGGGATCCCAAGAAGAATTCAAGGCAATTCTGCTAGAGAAATCATTGTTCTTCTCCTCATCACCCTGAATTCACATCCAAGTAAACATTCAACCTCATGTACAATGATAGTTATTATCTACAATTTGATGAGCTTATGTACACAGGGATTGTTGTCCCTTTGCATGCTTTTGAGAGTGAGATTGAGTGAGTGAGAGAGAGGGAGAGAGATGCACACACAGAGACACACATGTAAGAGAGAGAGAAAGAGAGGGAGAGAGAGAGAGAGAGAGATGGGACTGGGGCAGGGACTGGGAAGAACAAGACGGCAGGTGACTCAAATTGGCAGGTTTCAGCATACTCAAATTATTTTGAGCTAAGAGTGGAATAGGGTTGTAAGGGACAAGCTAAGCTGGGAGGCAGCAAGGCCAGGACCTCATGGAGTTTCTTCATGGGACACCAGTATGCCAGAGAAATCTGCACCACTGTTTGTCAGATATCTGAAAAAGCTAAATATCCCTTTAAAAATGAATAAATCGATCAAAAGACAGTGGCTATTGACACCAAAACAAGGGCCTTCTCTTTTTAGGAAGGAAGGGAGGGAGGGAGGCAGGGAGGGAGGAGAGAGAGAGGGAGGACGGAGGGAGGAGAAGAAATGATATGAGGGTATTGAAAGAATAAAAGTTATTTTCTTTTGTCCAGCATCCTTGGCAAGATCCAGCCTCCATTGAGTGATCCGTCTCATCTCTCATACTCCTGGATGGTCAGTGACTTGACAGTTTCTTATAATAAATGCTGTTGATTCTTCGTCATTAAAATTTCCCCCCTTCATTGCGGCACACACAAAAATTCGTGAAAGAAGCTGTCCTTTCCCTCCCCCTTTCTCTCTTGCTCTGTCTCCTGCATGACATTTTTGTTTTGTTTTGTTTTGCTTTGCTTTGTGTGATGTTCTTGTTGTTGCTGGGTTTTTAATTTTTTTCCTTTTTTATTTAAAATTCGGATGTTATTAACATTTGCTGAGTAGGCAGAGCAGGGAGACTGCCAACAGCCACAGTGGTACGGCCAGACACTTTGATCCATTGCCCGCTATCCCTGTTCCAGGTCCTACGGAATAAAAAGAGAAGAAGAGAGAGAAGACAAAAACAAAATAATAGATAACATTATATATACATTTAAGCAAAAGTGGTTGTGTAAACGATTACCCACACTCATGGCAATAAAAAGCACTGACTTTTTTGGAGCTTCCTGTAGGAGAAATGGCAGCCAAAGTTATTGCAATTACAGTAAGGATGGCCAAAGTGTTTCCTATCAACGGTGTAATTCCTTTAGAGAGCAAATGTACATTGAAGGTTTGTGCCAGCAGAGGATGTAAAGTCAGAGCTCAAAAAAGGTGGAACTGCCACCTGCCACACTTTCTCCCTGTCCATCATATTTTTGTCTCTCTCTTCTTTTCACTCTGGTTTATGTGCCATCAATTCACATCTGACCTATGGCCACCATAATAGGATTTCCAAGATATGTGAAATATTTAGGGAGCGTTTTTTACCAGTGCCACCCTTCAGTGTGTTTCCATGTCCAAGTGGGGATTTGAACTCAGGTCTCCTGAGTCCTAGTCCATTACTCTGTCTGTGACACCACACTGGATTTCTGTTTCTCTCCGTTACCTCTTTATATTTCTCCGTCTTTCTGCCACCACCTTTTCTCTCTCTTTTTAATGCCTTACTCCCCTTCTTTCTCTCCTTCTTTTTCCATGGGCCATGTGGCTGCTGAGAGAGGGGAAGGCCACTTTAGCCAGAGTGCCCAGCTCATCACAGACATCAAAGGAAGCTGAGGGATACCAAAAATTAGGCCACAGAGCTACAAGTGCCCATCCCTGGCTTATAGTGTGTTAACTTTCATATTTTTAGTTATTTCTGCTGCTGCTGTTATTTCACTTCAGAGTCCAGTAAATTGCTCCCAGTCTGATGGCACTAGAGTGTGGGTGACTAAGAGGATGGATATTATCCCCTTTTAAATCCCCACATGCCTTTTATTTATATTTTTAAAAAGTGAAGAGTTTGCTTGTTTTAATAAAACATCTATACAAAAACCATTAAACAGAGATGATCCACAGTGGGGAAGAACATGTTGCTACCAAAAGCACAGCACATGGAGGTTAGACAGATCTATCAATTAGATATGGAAATTGTTACAAACGGTACCTGATAGGATACAATTTTCTTTACCTCTTGGCAGTGTGCTTGAGAAAACTAAGCTACAGTACTCTACGATGAGAAGAAAAACTGGAGAGTCAGAGATTTTTTTTGCTCAGTCAACAGTGCGAACTGTGCTCTGCCTAGCTTTTGTTTTGGCACTGGGGCTAATTCATCCATTGCAAGAGCTGATAGCAGAAGAGGAAAAATTAGGTTGCACCATTTCATACTATAGGTGGCAGATGCCATAATTAGATAATGTCCTGATGTCTAGAAAGGCTCTTGGTAGTATAGACATTCTATTATGGATATGTAATATTTTTCTTTCTTTCTTTCTTTCTTTCTTTCTTTCTTTCTTTCTTTCTTTCTTTCTTTCTTTCTTTCTTTCTCTTTCTTTCTTTCTTTCTTTCTTTCTTTCTTTCCTTCCTTCCTCCCTCCCTCCCTCCCTTCCTTCCTTCCATTTTGAGAGCAGCTTTTACTTTCCAGAACTGAGTGTTCTCCCTCTCACCCTCCTTTTACAAGGGTCGTAAAACATTTGATTTCTCCCTTTGCAAGCAGAAATGGTACAATCCATTCTATTAGAGGTCCAAAGGAGAACCTGCCAGTTCCCTCTTCATGACTGGTTCCTATTTCCTGTTGGAGAATCTGGCTGGGAGAGGCTGAGCAGGAGCTTTCTATGAGAGATCTTCCCATCCTGCCTTTCTGCTCAAGCAGCATGGTCCACCTGTTTACTCCCTCTCCATGTGGCGCTCCCTGAATGCCAGGACTCATTATCATTCTGCACATTGATAACCGTCTGCTTACATCCAGACACTGACTCCTCAGGGGTTGATTCATCACAGCACTCTAATCAATAAAGCATGGATCCAATCAGCAAATAGCTTCAATCTCAGGGGAGGTTGCATAATTATTTATCTGGCAATCAGAAGGGGGAATGATTTCAATGTAACATTTATGGTCCTGCAATGTTAGGCCTATGGGAAGGAGCAACAGGAATGCCAGGAAAGCTTTGATTTTTCACACGGGTGAGGAATGAACGCAGCTCACTGCTGCAGCAACAAATAATACCTGATCACAACAGGAACACTGAGTGCTAACATGATGGATGCCCTTTCATTCAGCCTGGCTTTTACTGCTGTCCTGCTTGCTGTGATCTCTAAGCAGAGATTCCATTTGAAGCACTTCTTCCAATAGTAGCTTTGTGCAGCTCTCACTGTACATCCGTCATTCAGTCAATATTGTATTTTGTATTATGTAAATATAGTAGAATCCAGTGCTCCAATCTGAATCTCAGTACTTTAAAATGAGCAAGCAAGCAAGCAAACAGAGAGGTCTTTTGAGATACAATCTATCTCTGTCTAGCTGGGTAAATGTGGATCTAGACAGGTGATGTGCACGTTGCTCTGAAATGGAATCTAATTTACCTACCTTTTCTAATAAGTCTGTTGCTTTCCCCTCATTCTTTTGTCTGTTCTGCTGGAGACAGCCATGACTATTGCATTAAAATAAATCCCAGAAAACCTCCCTGGATGGTAATCTGAATATTTAGAAATCATTTAAGAATGTTTAGCAACATGGAGGAACTGGCCATTTATTTTTCTATATGTTTGCTTTCTCTAGGTATATCTTCCTGCTTCCTAATACAGTGGACCCTCGACTTACAGACGGCTCGACTTACAGACTTTTCGAGTTACAGACTTCTCTGGTCGCAAAATTTAGATTCAACTTGCAGCCGGAGAATCGACCTACAGACCAGAAAAAAAACCAAAATGGAACAAAAATGGAACAAAAACTGCTGGTTATGGGATTAATCGGTTTTCAATGCATTGTAGGTCAATGGGGACTCGACCTACAGACTTTTCGACCTGCAGCCACCGTTCCAATACGGATTAATTCCGTAAGTAGAAGGTCCACTGTACAATACTTCCAAAAGGCAAGAATTTAAAATTGAGTTACAAATACTGGCAGGTATTCATAATTCCCAATTTGTCATGATTATGATCCTTGTTTCAAAGATGTGTGTAGAAAATCTGACTTAAGACCTTCTTTACAAGTGCTAAAAAAGTGCCAGGAAAAAAAAATCACATGAATCAAGCTATTAAGTTTCAAATATGAGTCTGACTCCCTCAGGTTAACCTTGTATCACTTTTTTTGGAGCTGCTCTTATACTTATTAAGAATCATAGCTTTTAATGGAGAATTAGCTAGAACCTAAGGCTCCCAAAGCACTATTATGAAATGTACCTCATGCTTGAGAAGAGTGAATCAGAGTTGAAGAATTAAGACACAGGTAGATTTGCCTCAGTTTTAAGAGATGATTTATTGTATTTTTTGCTCCATAAGACACACTTCCCCCCAGAAAAAGGGGGGGGGAAGTATGTGCGTCTTAGGGAGCGAATACAGTAAAAAAGGGTTCAGCCACCACCACCCAGAAGCCTCCCACTGCTATGCTGGGAGGCCTCTGAACTGGCACCAAAGACTGCTTGCTGTTTGGGCCTCACCTTTCTGCATTGCTGGCTTTCCAGGATCTGCTTCGTGCAGCCCACCTGGAAGCTTCCTGCTTCCTAATACAATACTTCCAAAAGGCAAGAATTGAAAATTGAGTTACAAATACTGGCAGGTATTCATAATTCCCAATTTGTCATGATTATGATCCTTGTTTCAAAGATGTGTGTAGAAAATCTGACTTAAGACCTTCTTTACAAGTGCTAAAAAAGTGCCAGGAAAAAAAAATCACATGAATCAAGCTATTAAGTTTCAAATATGAGTCTGACTCCCTCAGGTTAACCTTGTATCACTTTTTTTGGAGCTGCTCTTATACTTATTAAGAATCATAGCTTTTAATGGAGAATTAGCTAGAACCTAAGGCTCCCAAAGCACTATTATGAAATGTACCTCATGCTTGAGAAGAGTGAATCAGAGTTGAAGAATTAAGACACAGGTAGATTTGCCTCAGTTTTAAGAGATGATTTATTGTATTTTTTGCTCCATAAGACACACTTCCCCCCAGAAAAAGTGGGGGGGGGAAGTATGTGCGTCTTATGGAGCGAATACAGTAAAAAAGGGTTCAGCCACCACCACCCAGAAGCCTCCCACTGCTATGCTGGGAGGCCTCTGAACTGGCACCAGGCTTTCCAAGATCTGCCTCCTGGAACCCACCTGGAAAACCAGCAGGGCCAACAGGCCTATGGCAGCAAATTTAAATGACAGAGGGCAGTGAAAACAGCCAAGGACCAAAGGGGAAAGAGTGATTCTAAAAAGACCAGGGGAAACCACAAACACAGTCCCCCACTACCACAAATTAGGCAGTTGATTTTCCCACATTTGGGGAAATCACAGGGATCAGCACATCCAAAGTGCAATACGTAGATGAGCCTTACCCTGGGAAAAACACTTTTACAATAATGGTATCTCCCCTGCCAGGTATGAGTTGGAATGGCCCCTGAAAATTCTTCCCCTTTCTGTGCCCTATCGCCCAAAGGCATGGTGACCCCCTGGCTGCACCTCCTGGTCAGAGCAGGGCTGCACAGCCCCAGTCCTGAAAGAGGCCAAGAGACCTATTCAGTGTTTTGGGGTGCCCCACAGGACCCCCATCAGGGGCTGGTATATTCCTCCCACATCCTCCAGTGCACAGATATTAGCATACCTAATATGCAGGGAAGGCAGGGAAAGCCTCCAGTGCACAGATATTAGCATACCTAATATGCAGGGAAGGCAGGGAAAGCAGGGAAATTCAAACAAGAGGCTGCTTATCTGCTTCCTTGCTAGTACAAGCAGTTAGAGAGCTGGGAGAGAGACCTGGGACTACCTGGTATTGCCGTTTTAAAATGTAAAATTTAGTTTAAAAGCT